TACGTTTATTTTGTATGATTTTTATTATTAAAGTCTTTGCTTCCTTCCTACTAATAACTTGCTGAGCATCAGTGCAATAAGATATCATGTCATTCAGTATTAATCTGAATGTTCAGCAGACTTGTAATAAACAGCAACTTAGATATTTAGATATGTTTATTCTGGCTTGGTTCCTAGCTATGGAAATCCTCATAGACAAGTAAAGATCTTACTTTATGAAATGTATGCAATAGGAGAGTCAGCAGGAATGTCACTATGATTGGGAAAATTGTTTACCCAAAATAATTATCTTCTGAAGCTGGGCACCAATAAATACTTTAAGAATATTTATGAAACGGAGAAGGATTTAAGGAAAGTACAGGCATAACTCGGAGATATTGTGGGTTTGTTTGCAGACCACTGCAATATAATGAATATTGCAATATAGTGAATATTACAGTAAAGTGAGTCACACAATATTTTTTGGTTTCCCAGTGCGTATAAACATTTTGTTCACACTGTACTGTAGTAAGTGTGCAATAGCATTATGTCTAAAAGATCAATGTACATACCGTAATTAAGAAATATTTTGTTGCTAAAAATTGCTAACAATCATCTGAACCTTTGGCAAGTCATAATGTTTTGCTGATGGAGGGCCTTGCCTTGATGTTGATAGCTACTGACTGATCAGGGTAGTGATTGCTGAAGGTTTGGTGGCTGTGACAACTTCTTTTCAAAAAAAAAAAAAAAAAAAAAAAGACAACAATGAAGTTTGCTGCATTGATAGACTCTTCCTTTCGTGACAGATTTCTCTGTAGGATGTGATGTTGTTTGATAGCATTTTACCACAGTAGAACTTTTTTCAGAATTGGAATCAGTACCCCCAAGTTTATGTAATATTCTAAGTCTTTTATTGTCATTTCAACGGTGTTCATGGCATCTTCATCAGCAATAGATTCCATCTCAAGAATACACTTTCTTTGGATTTATAGAAAGCAGTAGATTCCATCTCAAGAATTCACTTGCTTTGAATTCTTCAGGTTGCATCCATAAAGAGCAACTCCTCACCCATTAAAGTTTTATCATGAGATTGTAGCAATTAAGTCACATCTTCAGGCTGCACTTCTAGTTCTCTTGCTATTTCTACCATGTCTGCAGTTACATTCTCCTCTGAAGTTTTGAACTCTTCAAAGTTATCCATGAGGCTGGGCACAATGGCTCATGCCTGTAATCCTACCACTTTGGGAGGCCAAGGCTGGTGGATCATCTGAGCTCAGGAGTTTGAGACCAGCCTGGGAAAAAATGTGGGGCCGTGTTCTTAAAAAAAAAAAAAAAAAAAAAAAAAATAGCAGGCATGGTAGTGCATGCTTGTAATCCCTGGGGTGGCTGTGGCATGAGAATTGGTTGAACCCGGGAGGTGGAGGTTGAAAAAAATAAATAAAAATAAATAAGTAAAGTCATCCATGAGAGTTGGAATCAATTTATCAATTTATTTCAAATTCCTATAAACGCTAACTTCTTTTTTACTGTTTTTTGAGATAGAATCTCAATCTATCACCTAGGCTGGAGTGCAGTGGTGTGATCTTGGCTCACCGCAACCTCCACCTCCTGGGTTTAAATGATTCTTGTGCCTTAGCCTCCTGAGTAGCAGGGTTTACAGGTGTGCACCACCACACCCAGCTAATTTTTTTGTATTTTTGGTAGAGGATGGGATTTCACCATGTTGGCTAGACTGGTTTTGAACTCCTGGCCTCAAGTGATCCATCTTCCTTGGCTTCGCAAAGCTCTGGGATTACAAATGTGAGCCACCAAACCTGGCCAGTGTTGACATTTTGACATTTCATGAATCATGAACATTCTAAATGGCATCTAGAATAGTTAGTCCTTTCCAGAAGATTTTCAATTTACTTTGCCCAGATCCATCAGAGGAGTCATTATTCATGGCAAATATAGCTTTATAAAATGTATTTCTTAAATAATAGGAGTTGAAAGTAGAAATTACTCCTTGATCTGCGAGCCACAGAATTTATGTATTAGCAGGCATGAAATCAATGTTAATCTTACACATCTCTGTTAGAGCTCGTGGGTGACCAGGTGCATTGTCAATGAGCAGTAATATTTTGAAAGGAATCTGGTTTTTTTTGTTTTGTTTTTTTCCTGAGCAGTAGGTTTCAATAATCGACTTAAAATATTCAGGAAATCCTGATGTAAATGTGCTATCATTCAAGCTTTGTTGTTTTCATTGAAAGAGAGCAAGCAGAGTGGATTTGGCATAATTCTCAAGGGTGCTAGGATTTTCAGAATAGTAAATGAACATTGGCTTCGACTTCAAATCACCAGCTACATGAGCCCCTCACAAAGGAGTCCACGTGTCCTTTGAAGCCAGACATTGACTTCTTCTCTTTAGCTATGAAAATCCCAAGATAGCCTCTTCCAATAGAAAGCTGTTTTGTCTCTGTTAAAAATGGCACTGATATCTCCTCTCTAGCTAGGGAAGTCTTAAATGACATCTTCTTTCCCTAGAAGACTGTTTTTCTACACTGAAAATCTGTTGTTTTGTATAGCCACCTTCATTAATGATCTTAGTGAGATCTGGATAACTTGCTGCAGCTTCTCCGTCAGCACTTTATACTTCAATTTGCAGTTTTATGCACTGTGATGGCTTCTTTTCTTAAACCTCATGAACCAAGTTCTGCTAGCTTTAGATTTTTCTTCTGCAGCTTCCTCACCTCTCAGCTTTCATAGCATTGAAAAGAGTTAGGGCCTTGTTCTAGGTTAGGCTTTGGCTTAAGAGAATATTGTGTCTGATTTGATTTTCTATCCAGACTACTAAAATTTTCTTCATATCAGCAATAAGGCTATTTTGCTTTATCATTTGTGTGCTCACTGAAGTAACACTTTAAATTTTCTTCAATAGCTTTTCCTTTGCATTCACAACTAGGCTGTTTGGTGCAAGAAGCCTAGCTTTCAGATTCTCTGGACTTTCGTCATGCCTTCTGTGCTAAGCTTAGTCATTTTTAACTTATAAAGTGTGAGATATGCAGCTCTTCCTTTTACTTGAAAACGTAGAGGTCACTGTAGAATTCTTGATTGGCCTAATTTTCATATTATGTCTCAAGGAATAGACTGAGGAAAGGGAGAGAGAAAGGGGAATGACTGGTCAGTGGATCAGTGAGAACACATGTAACATTTATTGAGGTTACTAATGTAATTGTCTTGGGGTGCCATGGCAGAATGTCAGAAGGCTGTGGTACCCCAAGGTAATTATACCAGTAATCTCAAAGATTATTGATCACAGATCATGATAGCAGATGTAATAGTAATGCAAAAGTTCAAAATTTTATGAGAATTACCAAAACATGAAGGCACAAAGTGAGCACATGCTGTTAGAAAAATGATGCTGATAGACTTGCTTGATACAGTGTTGCTACAAACTTTCAATTTGTAAAAATTGCTATATTTGTGGAGCAAAATAAAGTGAAGCACAATAAGATAAGATATGCCTGTATCTATTAAGTGGCATAGCCTTAGCCATGTGGTATGATTAGACCTGTGGTATAACTATATATCTTTTGCCATAGGTGATATAAAATAATTTTTGAATAAATTCCTATTGTCTCCACCAAATAGAAGAGTAGAAACAGGCTCTGATTGTGGGCACAGAGGACAGAGGACATATCTGACTGGGGATTGCCATAACCTGAAGCCTGGGCATCCAGTACTGTTGAAAGGATCAGGGAGACATTAGATGCCAGAGCAGGTAGAACATCAGAAGAAGGCTGGGGTATCGGTGGATAACAGGAAGAAAGATGTCATATTTCAGAATCTGCTGTGGAGCAATGCCTGGCTAGGGAAGAATATACGTCTCCAGGAAAAGGACGAGTGACCAGTGTCCCATGGTCAGACAGTTGAAGGCAGTAACAGTAGCTGTTATAACCCACACTTGGAGTTACACCTTGGCTGTTGGGACATACTAGGCTACTGAATAGCGTGGAGGTTAGGTGGGGCAGTGATCAGGGTAAGCAGTAGGTATTTAAAAGATTTGTTATCAGCATGCTGTGGGTTAAGGCAACCACCAGTGTATAGATCAGGCACAAGGATGAAGAGTAGGCTTCTGGATTTGGGAGATTTAGGCCGAAGGCTTTCTGTGCTCTGAGTTGTACTTTTGCAGAGGAGTTGACCTAAAGTTCTGTGTTGACTGTGGGCACTGGGTGGCACCTAGGTTTGAATCAAAGCTCCAGTGTAATGATGTTTCTGAATTCCAACATTTATAACTTTATCAAATGAAGATTTTCTATACCATTCAGAAGAGTACCAAGGTCAAGATGGAAGGACATGGACAGAGTCCAGAATCTAACAATAAATAGCTAATATTTATTCAGCACTCACTGTGTCAGGTACTGTTCTGAGTGTATTACATTTACTGCTTCATTTATTCCTTCCAAAAAATCCATTTAGGGGATGGGCACTGGCTCGCAGATAATCTATTTAAGTAATAAGACAATAAGAAGGACTAAATATGATGTGGTTAGGTATAAGATTATGGTATTTTCCAAACTCCAGCAGTTCTGGGTACTAACGTTTATCTTTAGCTTTCCTTATTGTTTTGCGGTCCATGACAATTTGCTTTTGAAAACATATTTAACACAAGCCACTGGTCATGCGTATTCCTTATGACTTGGTTCCTAACGCCTGTCTGTAGTGTCTTCCCAGACCACTCACTTTGACTGGTCCTCTTTTCCGACTTCCCATAGGTCTTACTGTCTATACACATTAAGTCACTTGGTTATATTCTTTCTTCCTTTTTTATATTATTACAAAAAATTATTTAATATGAGTACATTTTGCTCCATTAACAAGCTTCTCCAGGTCTGTATTGCTTTTCTATCTTATAATAATTCAGTAATTTGCATAATGCTTTTCTTTGTATGTTGATTTTAGTCAAGTTGTAATCAACTGTTAAGAAACTGGTTGTTTTTATATATTTTACAATGTATGAAATTTTTTTTTGATTTTTACAGGGCAAACTCAGAAAATGAATCTTTTCCAGTCAATAACAAGTGCCTTGGATAACTCACTGGCCAAAGATCCTACTGCAGGTAACCCTGATTTGTGCTTGAATTGTTGTAGCTGTGTTAATTCCAGAATTGAAGCTTTGCTTGAAATATTTGTGTGGCGCTCAATGGTTAACATTGAATCTACCTGAAGTTTTCAAAGTCCTGCCCAAATGATTAGGGCTAAATAATTGAATTGCAACATTAGTCCGCTTATTGCCAGTTAGTTCTCATGTATATCTAACACCAAATCAGCTTCCTCTTACAGTATGTGTGGTCCTGATATTATATTTGTAACTTCTGGATTAAAACCTACTATGTACTTCTGTTTCTTTGGCCTATAGAAAAAACAAAATACTTTTTGATTCAGCTGTTTATTTCTAAAATGAAGACTTGATTTTATGCCTCCCTTTGGGATGCATTGTCATTCAGATTGTATTTTGGAAAAAATTATAATATTTATGTATAATTTTATAAGTAACTTAATCTTCATCATATTATTTATGCAAAACCAATTGTTCTTCCATTGTATGTTTCCTAAATTTTTGATTGGCTTTACTTTTATTTGAAGTAAATATATGTATATGTATACACATATACATATATTGTATAAATATATGTATATTTTGTATATTGAAGTAAATATATGTATGTGTGTATACATATATATTTAACATCTGTCTATTTCTGTACATACAGTATATAAATGTGTGTATGTATGTTTACTACACATTGGGCTTCCACTTGAAAACCTGTAGTTTTAAGGTTAAATGAAAAACAGATTTTTTTTAGGGAGAACTGAGAGCTGGACTGAAGAATGATTAGCTCTTGATTTGTTCTGAATGCTACCTGAGAATGATTGAACTAGATGAGTAAATTCAAACATAGAGAAGGGTGAGTTTTTTCTTGAAGTCCAAAAAGCTGATTAGGTGCATTTTGAGACTAGCACTCAGCTCTGTGAATACTCTCTATTTTAAAGCTCCTGCCAATTTCCACTCACACCGTTCTTTGCCTTGCTCACTGTATTCCATCATGTTTGCCTCCTTTCTGCTTCACACACTAAATCCCTTTTCTATTTGTGACTGTTCCCTTAGCTTAGAATGTTCTGATGGCTGACTTACTGTATCCTATGTCTCAGGAAAAACCACTGGCCTGGAAGTCTGGAGTATGATTTCTGCCTCTAGCTTTCTGAGTTGGTAACTTTACTACTTCTCTGGTCTCATTTTCTTCATGGATAAAACAAATGAGATTCTAGATTAGTGATTCTTTCTCAACTGGGGTGATCTTAGCCCCTACTCCCACAACTGTCTTTACGTTTAACAATGTAAGCGAAGGCACTTTTGGTTGTCTCAACTCTGTGTGTGTGTGTGTGTGTGTGTGTGTGTGGTAACTCTCGTCCAGTGGGTAGAGACCAGAGATGCTGCTATATATCTACAGTGCATAGGACAGGCCCTCACAACAAAAGAATCGTCTGGTCTAAAATGTCAATAATGTAGAAGTTGAGAAACCTCAATCTATATCTATGGTCCATTTCTCTTTTGTGATTTAAAATGCAATCATTTAAATTACTTATTTCTCATTGTTAGCATTATTTAGGGATTATTAAATAAAACATTATTTAAATAATGTTTTTCAGTAATATTTGGTGAAGATGTTGCCTTTGGTGGAGTCTTTAGATGCACTGTTGGCTTGCGAGACAAATATGGTAAGTAAATATCTATATGAATAGTATTCTGATAGAAATTTTACTGAAAGATCTTAAAAGTACAAAATGTGCCTACTAAATTTTTTGTTATATTCTCATTATATGGATGAATTCCTTTTCATTTCCAGTGCCACCTGCAAAATCCTTTGGCTTAGATTTCCTCAAATGTCTTCTAGTATCCCTCTGATCTGGTTCATATTATATATACAGTGTAATTGATTCCAAAATAATCATCATTAAATGTATTATTTATTGTTTCATTCTTCTGTTCAAGAACCTTTGGTGTTTTATTGCTGCCTGCCTCAGCCAATTTCAATTCCATTGCCTCTAGTTCAAGATTCTGCCTGTCGGTTGTCTATTAGCAAATTTTACCTTTTTGAGAAAAGAGAGAGAGGGAGAGGGGTTTATTTTTTAAAGAACTGGCTCATGTGATTGTGGGGCTGTCAAGTCCATAGGGCAGCCTGGCTGGTTTGAAACTCAGGCAGGGTTTCTGTTTTCGTCTTGGGGCTGAATTTCTTTTTGCTTGGGAAACTGAACTCTTTTAAGGCCGTAAATTGATTGTATAAGGCCTACCCACATTATATAAGGTAATCTGCTTTATTCAAAACCTACTGATTTAAAGGCTAATAAAATCTAAAAAATACCTTCACAGCAACTTCCACACCTGTGTTTGACCAAATATTAATAACTGGGTGCCATAGCCCGGTCAAGTTGACATATAATGAACCATTACATTATCCTTCTTATCTGTTTTATCCCAGCTGATGTCTTTTAATTGGCATGTGATTGATTTTTCCCCATTGCTTTTATTAATTTCATTTGACTCAGTTAAAATCATCAGAGTACGTTTTGGCCCATCTTTGAATTCCCACTCTTCTGACTTGCTGTGTAAGAGATGTGTTTTGACCTCTTATTGTAAGGGATACCTTTGAAGTGCTTTTGACACTTTATTTTTTCTTTTAGTCTTATCTGATTTAGAATTCAGCAGAGCAGTTCTTGTGAGGGCTAGGAGGAGCTGACATCTCCCTCTCTTCTTTCCTTTGCCATTGCTCTATGTTGCTTGTGTGTTCACACGGGGCGAGAGGAGTGAGGGTCTCTAAGATTTTTTTAAAAATTGTGTCTTTTTCTGTTCTGCTGTGTCTGAGGTTATGCTGTACTTAAATACAAGAACCCACACATGTTCCATGTCATTTATTGGGAACTTCCAGCTTAGTCTTGTCTCTTCCATTTATAGCAGGTTGAGTTTCTGGGTCCAGTCCCTCTGCTTTCTCCTACTTCTAATAACTGCTTAGAGCTTGACGTAGTTGGGCAAAAGATAATTTTTCCTGATCATTTAGACTCCTGTTACAAACTTTTAGATCTTTAAAAAGCAGTTAAAAATCTTTACACATTTGATTTCAAAAGTAATGCATATACATTGTAGACAACTTGGAGAATATGGAAAAGCATAAAGAAAATAAAAATTGCTTTTATTTTCAGAGATAACTTGAAGATAACCACTGTACATATCTTGGAATATATACTTCTAGACTATATTGGAATATGTTTGTATATATTAACTAACATTTCAAACACAGAATTATACTTCTGTAACTGAGTCTTTTTTGTATCCGGCGTAGCTATGCTGTGGAACAATGTCTAGACTTCACGATTCCATCTTGCCTGACTCAGTGTGGTAGCATGCCATGTGCTTGTATAGGCTGGTGAGTCCTCTGTTGACTGTCTGCCCAGGTCCTCTTCCATGACTCGCTTCTTACCTCTTCTGTTTGGTGCATTTTATCCATGCCATCTGCTGCTCACCCACTGGTGACTCCTGAATTTCTATCTCTAGTTCAGACTTCTGAGTGTCAGATCTGTATATTCAGTTTCACCTCAGTGTCCCATAGTCAATTCAAACTCAGCATTTGCATACCTAGGGTTGTTATACCCACCCAGCAAATGTATGCCTCCTAGTGCGTTTCCTATTTTGGTGACTATGTCACCATCCCTTTAGTTACCTAAGCCAGACACTGGGGAAATTCTGAGTGTCTTTCTTCTTTCTAGTTCTCTACAACCAGTGAAGTTGTACACTTGTATCTAATCTGGCCCCTTCTTTCCATTCTTACTGCCCTAGTACTTCAGATCTTTAATTTTTCTCTGCTTGCAAAATTTCATTTCTTTTCTTAGCAATCACAACTTCTTTAGTCTCATTCTCCCTCCAATCCATTCCCTCTCTTGCTGCCAGTGTGGTCATTTTAACATGCATATTTCTTAGCAGGACATACAAAAGACTTTGAGATCTACCTAGGTAGCTACCTGACCTCATCTGCTTTTATTTTTGTTTTTAAAACTGTCATTAATTTTCCACATTTTTAAGGGGTTTGACCATGGAAGTTCTCCAGCCAAGTCTTCAAAATCCTTCAGAACTTCTTCCTTTGTTTTTTTGAACTGGTAATCTTGGAACTCCTGAACCACCACAAATAAGTTATCAACTGATCTCAGACAATGAACCTGTGCCAGACTTTCCAGTGAAATGACAAAATATATCTTGCCGCGGTCTCTGCTGATTTTGCATGGTGACCCAAGTTTCTCTCTCACTTCATCTGCAGCTGTTTGTTCAAAGCCAGCAGGTAAAGTGGCTCCAATAGTAACTAGAAGCTCAGATTCACTTGTGAGGTCACTTTCTGTCAGTCGTACAGGCCTCTGGTTCTCATGAAGGTTCACATCTAGGAGTTGGTTAGTGGCTTCTTCAATGTCACACATGTTGGCTGTGCTTCCAAGGTTCCTAACACTGTCCCTTTAAAAGCAGTACTGTCCCTTTAAAAGCAGTACTGTCCCTTTAAAAGCAGTACTGTCCTATGTCTACTTGCCAGGCTCTGGGATCCACAGATGGGCATCAGGAAAGAGATCTTGGAAGTAATTGGCCGTCTGCGAAGACTCTTTCAGCTCCCGCACTCCATTGGCCTCTCGCGCTCAGTCCTATTTTATCTATTTTTTATTTTTTACTCTACAGACGCAGGAACTTGAGCTTATTTTTATTTTTATTAAAACTAATGTCAAGTTACTGGATTTTTCTCTTAAGTCTCTGTTGTTTTTTCATCTTTCTTCCTTTGCACATGCTATCTGAGTCTCTCTCCCCTGTCTGATTACCTGGTAGACTCAAGTTTCTCCTTCAGAAAGTTCCTCTGTGAAATTCTTCCAGATCCTCCAAGCAGACCCAGGCAGTTCTTTGTCGCTATTCACACTGCATCTTTTAAGTCTTGAAAGTTGTGCTGTATTTTTTTCCCTACTCTATCTTCACACCAGACAGTTGTCAAAGGCAGCAGATCTTTAAACTATTTCACAGAATGCGTTCCTAGGACCTAATATTGTGTCAGACAGTATTTATGAAATGCATGCTGTTGAGTGAATTTACCCTTTGCTCTCTACTGTCTCAGCTCCCTGAGAGGCAGAGAGGGAGGGTTTCCCTCCCTAACATTAATTATTTGGGTTGGTCTGATTTTATTTTCCTTAAAAAATAGGTTAAAACAGGGAGAAACTAACTCTTACTTTAAAAAAGTCCAGTGCTCTTAGAGGACACCTGCGAATTTATGTTTCCTGTCTTGGCAGGAGCCTGAGCTAACTAATGGCTAAGTAACTCTTTTAGCTTTAGTGTAAACAGCTGCTGTGAATTTTAACAATTTTTTTTAGGGCAGTCAAGTTACATTTTAATAATTTCAGGTTGAGGATGTTGATCAAGAAGAAAAATTAAATCACAGACACACACTAATGAGAATAAGTGAGCTTCTGCTTTCAGGAGTAAAGAATAAAGGAAAGGGTGAAGAAAAAGATATTAAAATGCATTTTTCTTGCATATTTTAAAAATGTCACATACTTAAAAAAATTATATGCCCTTTTGAGTATAGACCAGGAATTTTTAGCTATACAGAAGCATAACTGTCTGCTTAGCATTTTTTTTTTTAGGATAATTTGTATTTAAAATAACTAAAGGATTATGTTGATATGGTTCATTATAACAATCAAGTCACACTGCCTTAAATGATGAAGCAAAGAAAACCTCTTGTGCCAGATCAGTTTACTTTCTGAAGTGAGCTGAATGTGGAGTGGGAGAGGATCATAGTCAGTAGATGGCAGCCTACACTTTGAAATGAGAACATGCCTGTTGGCATTGTATCAATATTTGAACTGTTGCAGCATTTTATATTCCATCAGAAGGCAGAATTTGAAGGATTGTGCATTACTGACATATGTTGTAAAGCTGAATACTACTTGATATAAAAAAGAAGGAATTGCATAATTAGAGGCAATGCTATAACAAAAGGAAGAGAGACATAGAGCTTTTTGTATTCCAGATGATCCAGATGAGTGTGGACTTAGCATCACTAAACTGCTTCTCTTCCTTGTCCTTTGATAGAACGAAATAGTATGAGTGCTTTGAAAATTAAAAGAAATAAAATAGTATGCCCTCATCAACATTGCATTCCAAATGGCAGCTTTAACTATTGTAGGGAATGAGATGTATTGATTAGAGGCAACAGCTGGAACTCTGGGGAAGCAGGGAATGGGAGAGGGCAGTTAAAGGCAGTTGATTTGTAGGGTGTATGTGATTTTATGTTGAATGCCACATACGCATGCTTGCTTGTTTGCTTCCTTCCCTCCTTCCTTCCTTCCTTCCTTCCTTCCTTCCTTCCTTCCTTCCTTCCCTCCCTCCCTCCCCCCCTCCCTCCCTCCCTCCCTCCCTCCTTCCCTCCCTCCCTCCTTCCATCCCTCGCTCTGCCACCCAGGCTGGAGTTCAGTGGCATGGTCTCGGCTCACTGCAATCTCTGCCTCTCAGGTTCCAGTGATTCTCCTGCCTCAGCCTCCCAAGTAGCCGGGACTACAGGTGCCTGCCACTATACCCGGCTAATTTTTGTATTTATAGAGAGAGGGGGTTTCACTATGTTGACTAGGCTGGTCTCAAACTCCTGACCTCAGGTGATCTGCCTGCCTTGGCCTCCCAAAGTGCCGAGATTACAGGTGAG